GTTCGGCACAGAGCAAACATACAGCACATCTCCCATTCAACACCGTCTCTACAGCCTATCATGGTGGTGGCAGCTTCATGCTTATAGCGATGCAAAGCATTTGCAAATACTACAGGGAACACTGCTTCAGTCTGCTAAAGACTAAAGACTGGGATGAACATTCACCTTTCAGCAGGAGAGAAAGAGTGAGGCTTAAGCTAAAAGGTTGCATATGAATAAGAAAGTGAATGTCTCTCGAAGGACCCAGTCAAAGTCCTGACTCGAATCCTATTGAGAGCCTGTGGAAGGGATTGAGAACTGCTACCTGTAAGTTATCCCCAAGCAACTGGAGACAGCTGTAGCAAATCTGTCAAGAAGAATGGGCCAAAAATTCCTGTAAGCCGGAGTACATAGTTGGTAGGGTGACCTAAAGTCTTGTGGCTGTAATTGCTGACAAAGGTGCTGCAATTCACAAGTCTCAACACTTTCATTTTTTTCTCTTTAGTTTTTACTGACACTTACTGTAGCTTATCTTACCTGCAGAAATCTTCGGTGTGAGCATCCATTGACTGTGATCAATTTTGGAATTTCACAAAATGAAACACCATAGGAAGAGTCTAAATACTTTTGCAAGCTCACCGTGTTTAGGGTTTTTCTTAAAAGTTTTTTACTACTGATTATACCGGACATCCACGACGCTACAGATAAGTTATCTATATATCACATCAGACTCAGGTTAGAAGTGTTACAACTATGAATATTTAAAATTGTACACAAATATGCATACAACTATGAATTTGGTTGAAATAAAAAACTGATGACACAATTCCCTCTGGAACCTGAGTTTGAGACCACTCCCATTGATGAAACCTTTTGTAATTCATTATTTCTGTTGGGAAATTGCATAGATCCTTACAAACTTCAATGTATTTTTTCTTGTGCTAAAGAAATCTTCTCCACATAGCTGCGCAAGAGCCAAGTAATCAGATCACTGGAAAGTAAATAGGAGGAAATACTTTATCTCATGAATCTCATGAAGTTCCTTCTATCACTCTCTGCCAAACAGTCCTCTAATGAAATCTGGCCTCTACCAAGAGGCAGAAGCCCCTGTTTTAACTAGTACTGGATATCAGATATTACAGGTTTCATTTCCACTTCTTATAAACATGTCTTGTTAGATGAGGATGAAGTCCTGTTGTCTGATTTGTACTTGAAGCTACAGTACACCTAATGATTAATTCAGCTCTTAAAATGTTAAAGATCTGGTGCAAGAAAAACATATCACAAAAACTCTTCGCGCAAATTTCATAATTAACATCAAAAGATCTTTGGCAGCTCCTGGCCCTCATTTGTAGCAGCACTTGCAAAACAGATTAATATACAGTAGCTCATATTAACATTTATAAATGCAGAAGTCATAATTTCACTTTGCTTTCAGGTATAGCAGAAAATAAACTTTAAGCCGATATTCAGACCCACTTAGGTTTAGCACATTGCTAGCCTGCAACTTGAGGGTGTTGTTTTGTTTGGCAGAAGAATTTTGCATTTGCTCAGTGAATCCTTCCATCAAGCAAAGGGTTTGCAATTTGTACTGTAGGTGTGTCACAATATGATAGGAGTGAGACCTTTGAGCTCAGAAGATAAGTACGGTTTTTGACCGTTCCTGTTCAATTATGATTAGAGCTCAGGGTGTTTTGAGGAACTTTGTGAATACCATTTTACACATCTGCTTGATTAAGCAGAATGAGGATACCTTAACTTTTTAAAATGTCAATCGTTGTCTTCGCTGGCTTTCGTATAGAGACAATGAATAAGACAGACGCTCTATGGGCAGTATGAATCTGCAGATGACTGTGTCATGGTAAGAATGATCACAAGAATGGCCCCTAAAAGCTTGTTTTATTTGCACAGCAAAAGCCTGGGGTAGTCTTTAAGACTGAACATGCAGCCTGAAGAACCAACCCACCAAAGCCAGAAGAACCTGAACACCACGAAGGGGAAAGATACATTTTAAAACTCCAGCAGAGTTTTAAACCTTCCAGCCCGATTGTCCCTTCCTGTGAGTCCAGGTTTCCACAGCTGGCACACAGTGGTCACTCTGGGGCTGTTCAGAAACCACTTTGCAAGCCACAGTGAACAGAGGCTAGGCGCTGGTCAACGGTGTGAGGTGAGAATCGGACCACAGCCTAGAGCCAGCAGGATTCTGATTGCGTCAGGTGCCTATCGGGCCATGTCGAGTTTTTCAGCAGGAAGGTTTCGTGATCAAGGCAGCCCAGAGCAAAAGGGTTGAATTCTCCTAGAATATGGGCGACCCGCCTCACACCAGCCTCAAAAGGAAAGTCGGAGCTTGACAACTAAGCAGAGCCGTAGGGTGGAATCACCACATATTTACCCTGATGACAGTTCATCAGTGTTGCCCACTGCTCCAAAACAAAACCAGCCTCCTCTCTAAATCGATATGTTACGATATCTGTAGGCAGGTAGGCAGGCGAAGACAATTTCTTCGACGTGACAGACCACCAATATGATTCCAGTGAACCGAAATTTCCCACATTTCAGCCAGACGTGCCCGCTTACCAATACGATTAAACCACAACCCCGTGAAACGTCTATCTTAGGAACCGACAAATCGCCATAACACCGAAAAGAGAACTAATCCAGCGGTTTACGGGCTGGTGAAATTAATTGTAACGTGAATCTTTGCGGCTTTGTAAACTGTGGGCGTTTCGCTCTCTTTTTGAGACCAGGGGCAATGAATAAAAACGCGGCGTGCAAAATCGGTTCACAAATAAATTCTTTCCAGAAAGGAAGCCTAACAACGTGGAAAGAATTACACAAAAATACAAAAGTAGCAGAGAACCAGACCAATGCAACGTTCACAAAAGGAGCTGAACATGCATTATCAGACACTTTCTGTGCGTGTGTGTGACACACTTGCCATCTCGATTCAGATTCTCGCTGCCGCTTCGCTTCGGTTTCTGTCACTGTATAATCCGAAGCACCTCGGCTAATTCACTGCAGGCATGACAGTACAGGCTCTGGAGGCACCCGACACACAAGACAAGGAGACATTCTGGTGCCGAAAGGCTATCTCCTCTTTTCACCGATAAAACCCCTCTGTTGTGCATTTTATGATATCTCCTGCACGACGAAAAAAGAGTGACATCACGGCATGCAATTTAGGAAAAAAAAGGCATATTCTCTTACCGCTTTGTTTCAGGCGACAGAATGCTGCCGTTCCTACTTTAAAGGTGTTTTTTTTTTTAGTTATTGTTGGCTTGGCGTATCGTACGGCACAATCGCACGCTGCCGTTTAATTTCCACGAGAGATGTTTTTCTCCCATCCGCCCAACTTCAGCACCGAGCCAGCGGAGACGCACTGCGCAAGCGCGCCGCGTGTGTCGGCTCGGCCAGCCCGCAGCTGCAGGCAGGAGTGCGCAGACCGAGGTTTGGAGTGTCTCGGGGAGCCGGCAGGACGGGCGAATTACGAGATGTGCTGAAGAAGAATAAGATGAAATGCCTTTCCGGAGCTCTCCCACTCTTCTGCTGATGAATTAGAATGCCGCTGACATAATAATAAATAATTACATATACACATACATACACTCCGCTGAGCGGTGCGTTTGTGTACTGTAAATCTACTACAGGTTGTGCACGATAAAACATTATTTTAGCACCGCACCTCACATGATTGTGGATTAACGCCTGCTTTCGGCTATCCATTTTACGTTTGTACTTGCCTTTTCAGGCTAGAGGCCCAGCAATGTAAATAGATCAAAGTGCAGTTGTTTGTTGGAAATAGTCATTATTGTAATTAAGGGTTCATTGGCGATCACATTTACCACCTCTTTTAAAGTGCTGTTTGGAAAAGCTTTAGTATGGCAGGCAAGAGCTGGCAAGAGTCCCAGTATATTCTGGACTACAGCTCTGAAACTGGGACCCTCAGGGCTCCTGTGCATCCTCAGAGACAACTCAGCAGCCAGGCGCACTATGGCTGCCATCTCATCATCCAGGTGGGGCTGCACACTGGTGGTGGTGGAGGGGATCCCCATTACCTGTAAAGCGCTTTGATTGGAGTGTCCAGAAAAGTGCTATATAAGTGTAAGCAATTATTATTATTATTATTATTATTATTATTATTATTATTATTATTATTATAATAACTCTGTAAGAGCTGGGTGACACTTCACACCAAGACAGGAAGCCCAGTGAACAGGAGGCCTTGGCTTTAGAGCTGAGCGCTTCTGTAATTAGAACCAGTGGAATTTAGGTCTGGAAAAAAAGCACACTGGGCTTGTTTGTTCTGCTAGTACGGTTCTGGCAGGTCATCTAGTTAAAGGGTTGAGGTGTTTGGAGTGAAAGTCTTATCACACAGCAGACATCTTTGCTCATGGGCGCTGCTTCTGTTGCTCTGTACAGTTCTCTCGGCCTGCTAACTAACAACCAGCTGCTGCTGTTGTGATTTTTTAAATCGGTCTTTCTGGGGACTTGAGGCATTCCCCTATTTTGCGTTAAGACAGTATTTGCTTGGTGAGCCCATATAACAGTATACCGCTGAGCTGGAGGGATTGAGATACTGGGGTTCGGCCCTTTGCGTGCCCCCATCTTCTCCTTCCTGCTTCTTCTCCCACCAGCTACGAGGTCCACATCCAACGCAAGTGATCACAGGAACCTCCTGAGACGTCCCCTTCAAGCTATACTGGGAGGTCTGAACACGAAAAGTCCTGCCACTGTCCTGAGCGGCTCAGGCAGTTTTCCCTTGAGGTTAACAATGACCAGACGCAAGCCTGGGCGATCACAGATCTTGGGCCTGGGACTGATTTAAAGACCTGTGTCCACTGGTTTGCCAAGGAGTGACCTTGCCGGACAATAATTCATAATTCAGTCCAGAGGAACTTGGAAAGAATGAACCCGGCAGATGCATACAACACAAAAATATCCTTCTGAGGAGCATTTCAAGCAACTCTGTTTGGCAGTGAAAAGCTTCTGGAGCAATGCCTGAAGTAAGCATTGTTTGCACAAAGTCGATGATATTTGAGGAGACTGTGTGGCCCTAGTAGTGCTTGGGTTAAAATATGGTATGTAGTATGTGACACACTCCTCATCCTCAGGTACACACTACTTAACATACAGAGTGTCTCTTGTGGTGAGCGGAATTCCTATGGCAACATCGTGCTCAACTTTGATCTTATTACAGCAGAATGCCATACAACTGTACAAACAGGTACCATCACCTGTGCCAAAGAAACACGCTACAATATGTCAAATGCGATAACCACTGCGCCTTAGGAGTGCCGGAGCACTGAACAAGTGGCTCACAGGGCGGCTCGAGGGCAGGAGGGTGGGAGGAATCTGTCCACACTTCTTCACTCTCTCCTGTGTGCGGCTGCAGGTTTTGTAGCTGTAAAACCAAGAGATTAAGACACACGTAGACTTGGCTATTCTGAAATGGGACAGGTGAAAAGCAAACATTTGTGATTGTACATTTCTAAAAAACCAATGTCTTCTGAGGTGGCACTCTGTTTTATTACAGCTACACTCCCTCTAAGGCTTTTATCCAGTATGGTGGTATTCACACGGGGGGAGAGGAAGAACTAGTACCATTGTCTTTGTTGCACCTTTTTACACACTCCAACACGGTATATGAGATACTGCTCGCAAAATGATCACATATTCTTATCAGGGAAATCCTACTTACAAGCCAGACATATTCCTTCATATCTTAGACGTTCTGGCTCAACAAACCCAAGCCAACTCAACCCCCAAAACAACTCAGCATGTCTAGTGTATCACATAAACACTTCTCTATGGCTGGCAAAACATATAATTTCATAGAAGGTATTTGGCAGAACTACCTTTGCATTTAGGACTGTATAATTTAAATGACAAAATGTAATCTATAATTTACCCTGCAGACTCTACTGCAGTCCCAAGATGCAGGTAGCAGCCTTCATTACCTTCTTGACCAGTGGTGTTGGAGTTGCGTCAAAAAGCCTGGTGCACAACTAAAAAAAAAAAAACAGATTTGTTTTATTGTTAAGTAAACAAAAACCTTGTAAGGCTCATAACAAATAGAACATAATAATACAAAATAGAAAATATAGAAAATCGAACATAATAAATAGAACATAAATGGAATAAAGGCAAAAACATATAAATCATCTTAATTTTATCCCTTCTGCTCCTCATATCTTCTCCAAGAGAAATTCACCATCAGGACCTCTTGTTCAGATTGTACACCCTCCAGTCCTCTCCTCCCTCACACATACTGAGAGCTAGCCTGCTCTGCAATATCCCATCACACTGTGCTGTTCTTCCACACAAAGCTAGGATTTGTATCTTTCTTGCTCTGTTTATTACACCTGTGCATCTTATTTGTGCCAAAACCCTTGTATTCCCCTGTCCGGACTCAGTCCTGGAGAGGCTGAGAGAGTTCTGCAACGTACCCTGGTCTGCTCACACACTGCGCAGTGTTTTGACAATGGTATCCAGTCCGTTTGGATAAAGGCGCCAGCCAAATAAATAAGGAATATGTATTCCAGCAGGCACTGCAACTGGTGTCAGCTTCACAGTGTTAGAGTTTAGCATCCTTTCCCCCAGGGAGCCCTCCGAATTCCCGAGTCCTAATTTGATTGCTGTATTAATCCCAGTTGTTAAGAATCAGTGTTGATTTAAAAGCCTAGAGCTTCAGACGCTCGGGGCTCAGCATTAGGACACGGATGTCCAGAGGCCCGCGGGGTCATCTGAGGGCACAGGCCTTGCCAGAGGCATCACGCCCCCCGAGCCCGGGGGTCTGGAGGACCGGGCCCCCCATGTTCTTGGACTGTTCCTGATTTCCCTGTGTCTGTCTGGCTGGATGGATCACCCGGTTTAGGATTATGGGACTGCGCCCTGACTTACCCCCATGGATTCGCTTGTACCTGGATGCCTTGTTTTCCCCTGTTCATCGGCGCACCTGCTGTCACTGAGCACTACCTTCCCAAATAAACCCCTGGGTGTTTTCCCTCATGCCCGCCTCCTATTTGCCTTGGGTCACACCCCACCACATGAGGCCTAATCACCTACCCTCCACAGAAGACTGGGGCCCATTCGTGACACACAGGTGTTCAGAAACTTAAGGACATTTTTCAAAGCCTTTGTCTTTTGTGTCATGCATGTATTCTACCTTTCTTTGTCCTGTGTTTTTTTAAGGGGACTTGACACAAGTATCAAGAAACCCCAAGGGCACTGAGAAAGTCAACCAAGAGGACTTCTTCAGTACTGACAGCAAAACATGTGGCAGAAAGCACAAGAGGAAACTACGTGGTCGTGCCTTTAAAACCAACAATGGGAGGCTCTTCTTTACTTAAAGAGTGGTGGGAGCGTGGAACAGGCTGCCCAGCAGTGCGGTCGAACCCGAACCTGGGATCAATGACCTGCTCACTATCAGACAGGCTGGGATGGGGAAAATGGTCTCCTCTCATTGATAGCCTTTCTTCTGTTCCTGCGTGCACAGGATTTGATTCAAAATGATTTCATTTCTCTCTTCTGTGGCTGCGAGCTGTCTTGCTGGGGTGGGGGGAGGTTGTTTTTCTCTTTTGAAAGCTTCTGAAAATCAAACTACTTGTAACAACGTTAATGTCCTCAAGAGCATGTTTGTTTTCCTCAGCTCAGTCAAGAAAATTAGGAAAGCATAACTAACCCATGTTTATGGCATTTAAGAGAAATATTAAAAGATCAATTTTGCTCACAATGTTCCCATTCATTCGCCGTCCCCTTGCCATTGTTTTCGGAGCGACTTGTATCATAAAACAGCAACATGGAACACATAAAAGCAAAAACCAATGACTTATATTCTCTTTAACCTAAAACAACCAAATCTACTATTATGGTTGTGCGGGTGACTTTCTAACTGAGCACTGAAAAACCCACTCGCAGAGAAAACTGCAACAGCATAAAAATACCCAGCATAAAATATCCTGCTAAAATCGTGAAAAAGACCTTCGTGGTATAAGCTCGGTGCGATTGGTACTCCTCCAGATGTAGCGCGCTGTCGTCTGAGCGCTGTTGCGATTGGGCGTCTCCGGCAGGTCGGGGAACAGCGACCCCTGCTGGTGCGCCAGTAAGACCTGCAACAGACCACCTCCATCGAGTGCTCCGAGGCACGCAGTTTTAAATATATATATATAGTACAGTACATTCATGTCTGCTAAAATAATACTTAAAAATGACCAATTAATACTGTCAGCCCCATACAAAATACAGACCGACTGAGTGTTACCACTTACCATGTATTTTGATTGTGAATACAGAAGAAGTAATTGACATAAGCAGTATACATTTTATTTTATAACAATATGTTAAGCTTTGAAATTTCTAGGAGTGTCGAACACAATTCAATGAAAAAACGTCAGTACTGAGGCAGGTATTTGACCTTTCAGTCTAAGCTTTGATAACCTGACAAGGAGAAAAACCGAAAGAAGTGTTTTACAGTTTGACAGAAAGCTCTCAGTGCAGAGTGCTAGTCACAT